TTCAGCACGCAGTTTGATTTGTTCTTCAGGAATTTCGATGATTTTCTGATCACTTTGGAAGCTCAGGGCGAAAAATTTGAGATGCTGAAAAGGCTGACGCTCTTAGAGAAAGCATATTCAAAGCAGAGGAAAAAGGAAGTTGAAAGGTTTGTTGCTTTGTGCAGTGTAGCTGGTTATTCGTGAATTCAGTGTGGTTTTGGGAAATAACTGGCGGTGCTTGGGCATTTGGCAGTGAAGCTGTCTTTTATTTCACATTTCCAAAGTTATTTCAAAAGGAAGACAGCGGGCGGAAATGTGTGATTTTTCTGGGATTTCTTTGATAATTGATTCAGTAATTAAGAAGCTTTACTTGTTGAATTTCTTTTTACAAGAATTGAACTGCAGTTGGATTGATGATTTATTGCAAATAAATGGGGCAAAAAGTGCTAGGAATGTAGAAACTGCTGGGTGTAAGTGCCGGTTGTCGGGGTTGTAGTTTGTGAAATGTAGAGGCAGATATGTTCTAGTAGTAATGATCTTCCTCGCCTCGGTTAACCGGATTAGACGTATTTGAAACAATTCGTGCATAGGGAAGTACGGTTATCCGCGACGCCTCTATTTGAAAATCGTTTTTTAGAATCCGGGCCGAAGAGGTGAAAAATGAGCCGAAAAAAGAAGCCATTAAAACGTTCGAAAAACAAAATAAATTACAAGATCGTCGAAAGGAACGCGAAAGACGCATGACCCAAGAGGTATCGTTGCTGAAACCAAGCCCATCATTCACTGAAGAAACATATGCATCAAGTACGTTACCGCATCCTCGACGGGGCACTGAGCCGGTTCCACGCATCCGAACCTCATCATTCGAATCAAAGGTATTTTTCACTGGTTTTTTTTTAGAAACCCATATATTTATCTTTTGAAAATTCCATCCTAACGGCGTTGATTTCCTCTTTTGTGTCTTCTCGATTTCCCAGTCATTTGGTAGTTTTTTCGACCGCTACTGCATGGCTGAGAGAAACACGGTAAGGTGTTTAAAAATCTTGGCTGACAGCGTGTTTGGAAAAAAAAGCAAGTCAGTGAGTATCTCAGAGGTAAATTCATCCATAGGGTGCGGACTCGATTTCCCAGTAAAAGAACACTGTTTTTATTAAAACGTATTCAGAAGCTTATTTGATGCGAACTGCCAAGAATTATTGTTAAGG